ATACATTTCTTTATTATACTTTGGATTATTTTATTATATTTATAGGTATTTTTACCATTATTATGGTATCCAAAAAATGATAATACTTGATACTTTTTTACTACTTATGGGTTTTTATTTATCAGAGTCGTCAGATAATATTCCCTTATCTTATGTTCACGTGTCAGGCTATAGCTTTTACAGACTAACCCTATGCGAAGCTTCTGAGTTCCAAGCTTGTTATCATGCCAGGCTTTGAATTTTTCTGCAACCGGTTTGTGGCCTAATTTGTGCTCTAAAGAGTTTGTTTGGACAAATTGCTAGGACTATTTTCTACGACTCCATAAAATTTTGAGCTCTAAAGAAGTCTAGACTTAAATCAATTATTATCAACAGTAAATAGGAAGCAACATGCCCGTGATTTACGTGGAATTGGAAAGCTTGCTAAGGTTAAAGTAACACAATACAATGTCCATGGACAGAGATGGCAGATAGGGCTCTTAAAGGAGCTGAAGTCTTAGACCAATCCCTACCATATGTATTTAAATGATGACAAGGACCAAATCTTTTGAGTTCCTCACATTCATTAGAAAACCGGACCACAAATTCCTGCTATGCATCTGTTTCTTCATTTAATATTTATTTTCTTGGGAAGATGACACTTACCACACTAAACCAACACCCTGGGATCTAACCCATATATGCCTGAAGGCACAGTCCTATAAAAAAATAGACTTAGTTATATAAGCTACGATTATAATACTGAAGAGTTATTTTAATCTACAATACCGAAAGTTTTACTACAAAATAATAGTGAGATTGCAACACCATCTAATGAGATTATAATAAAATGATATTATTTGCAATGAGATTAATTACAATCTAATTAGAATTTATCTTAACAGTTTTTTTATCGTAACTTGATTTTATTTGGTGCTAATCCAATAATTATAATGAAACTATTTCATTAAATTAACAAATTAAATCAAATTTTTAAGTATAAATGACATTCCTCTTCTTCTAAAAAATAATGCAGTGTAATTTGAGGTGGTTTCAACGTAGACTCCACCACTGTACTTTTGAAAAATTGAAAGGGTATTACTATAATATTTGTTTTCACAGAGACTGGTGTGGTAATATCCTAGTTTCTTTATTTTTTTATTGTTTTGTAACATTTTTTTTGTGATCTTATGATAGTTGGGAAAAGTTGTTTGTGTTGGATATTGACTGGGTCCTACACCCAATTAAGATTTTCAGTTACTCTCTCTCCAGTACCCACCCAAAGCCTTGGACATAGAATACACTGCATTTTGCCTCTTCTGTTATAAATAAGAGGGAGATTAGAGAACTGCTAATGGGTGCTAATGTTCTCCATACTCTCTCTCTCACATACATTTCACTTATATACACGCAAATGAACAGATTTCTGTCACATGGGTGGCTTCTGTGTGGCTTGAGAATTAAGGTGAGTGTTGAGCAAGATGGAGAAGCAGGGCACGTGCATTGCTAACTCATCTACCATCTACAGATTAGCTCAGTGAGTTAGCTCTTCATGTGCCCGTCTTCCCCATCATGACCATCCAACCTTATTACCATTGGATGGCATTGCAAAACCAACTCCGGCTGTACCAGTGAATTGCTTCAGCAGTTCATTACTCCAAAAGCTTCATATTCAGGTGAGTCATGTTGAACTTTGCTGTATTAGAAACAATATTTTTCTGCAGTGTCAAATTTCGGAGGGTTCCTAGTTCCGATTGATGATTATGAGGATAATTATCAAGGAACAATGGTCCCCAAAAGATAATGATAAAGAAAAGATAGACTCCATACCATCTAGTGGTCTAAATCATGGTAGAAAAGTAATGCTGAATATGATATTAGCGTCATAATTAGACCACATGAACATATAAGAAGAGGAGACACCCCTTTACATAGTACGCTGTACAGTCACTATCCCATTTGTGAGCTTTGATTCAACTTGACACGTTCGCCCTCCTTTCTCTCCCAAAAACAATTTGTTTATTCAACTTGATGAAATGGCCTCCAATGCATTAAACACAGTATAGTGCATTACGGGTGTTGATTATTCAATTACAAACTTGCTAAAATTGTTATATATAAATGAACACTGGAGGGGATAAGGATGGCTCTGGAGCGGGTGGCTCCAGAGATTAAGAGGTTTGGATCTAGGGCCTTGTTTCCCATTTTTAATTCATGGACCTCGGAAATACGCTGGCTTAAGCTTGAATGATAAATATCTTGGAAGTTGGAAGTTGGAACTTGATACTAACGTAAATTAATTTGAGCAAATCATCCGTTGGACAGATTGGTTCCGAGACTTCGGGAGATGCATATATAGTATGAAACCTTCAACATTTTGGAGGACAACATTTTGCATATCAAACATTCTACGGAGAGTCTCCGGTTATAAAGTTGAAGATGAATCAATTTGTTCATCATGTTGTTTACTTATTTGTTGTATCATTACAAAGTCNGATTATGAGGATAATTATCAAGGAACAATGGTCCCCAAAAGATAATGATAAAGAAAAGATAGACTCCATACCATCTAGTGGTCTAAATCATGGTAGAAAAGTAATGCTGAATATGATATTAGCGTCATAATTAGACCACATGAACATATAAGAAGAGGAGACACCCCTTTACATAGTACGCTGTACAGTCACTATCCCATTTGTGAGCTTTGATTCAACTTGACACGTTCGCCCTCCTTTCTCTCCCAAAAACAATTTGTTTATTCAACTTGATGAAATGGCCTCCAATGCATTAAACACAGTATAGTGCATTACGGGTGTTGATTATTCAATTACAAACTTGCTAAAATTGTTATATATAAATGAACACTGGAGGGGATAAGGATGGCTCTGGAGCGGGTGGCTCCAGAGATTAAGAGGTTTGGATCTAGGGCCTCGTTTCCCATTGTTAATTCATGGACCTCGGAAATACGCTGGCTTAAGCTTGAATGATAAATATCTTGGAAGTTGGAACTTGGAACTTGATACTAACGTAAATTAATTTGAGCAAATCAACCGTTGGACAGATTGGTTCCGAGACTTCAGGAGATGCATATATAGTATGAAACCTTCTACATTTTGGAGGACAACATTTTGCATATCAAACATTCTACGGAGAGTTTCCGTTTATAAAGTTGAAGATGAATCAATTTGTTCATCATGTTGTTTACTTATTTGTTGTATCATTACAAAGTTTGACAAAAACATTAGAATGAGATCTTTCTGAGAAGTCTAATAATAAAGAATAGAACATCTTGCCTAGAGGATTTAGATAGTACATAGTTCATAAATCGTCTTTCTTGCCATTATTTCTTGCTTGCATTACTTATGTAGTCTCAGATAGAATTGAGGTGAGGGATCTAGTGGTAAAAGTTCACTCTTACCCGCAAATAGTTATAGATTTCAATCTCATCCCCTTCCCCTTTTCCCTTACCCTAAAAAAAATAGTGTCAGCTAGATAGAAAGGATGCCGATGTTTCAAGAAAAAGTTGAATGCTTTATAGCCATGTATGGTATTTAGGTATCACCGTCCAGGGTTATGTCTCTATTTTATCTTCGGTTCTGCGTCCCTGATTGAACGACAATGATAAGCCATGTCCAACAGCTTGTTTTCTGATAGAATTGCGAAGTTTCGGTTATATGCTACTTGGGAGAATCTTATAGGGTGTGTTTGGAAGCTACTTCAAAAGAATAATTTTCGTCAACTGTGATCGCATGTCAAGAGTCTTGTCAATTTCTTTTCTTTTCTTTTTTTTTTTTTAAATGAAAGAGATGAATGACTTCAGTCTTGTTCAAGCAATTATGCAAAACATTATGGTTCTACCTATGTCTCCAAACACCATGTTCGTAAGGACTTCTTCTCATATTAATGGTTTACATTATAGTCAAGTTGGTGCAATTAATTATACACAAAGAGCACACAGATATATACCGTGAGAAATCAAGAGTGTCTCACTATGTTTGCATTCCTTTCTTCGATTTTATGGCCAATCTTGTTCAATCCAAAACTGGTTTATATGATCTCATAGGTGGATCACGGGGAATGACTCGAGATAAGAAGGCATCAAGTAAGAACCAGTTTTTACTAAATATGACCGGTTCTCCTAAGCAATTAAAAGGCTACGGCTTTCATGGGTAATAGAATGCACGGTATTACTCCATGAATTAAGGAAGTTGCATTCCATGATTTAGGAAATGGTGGGCCTTCTCAATCTTCGACATTTTCATCCATCTCCAATAACAAATACATCAAACTGTGGCATAATTGTTTGTTTCTGTATTCATACCCCTTGTGTTTGACATTTTCATTGTTCCGATGATTAAATGGTGAAATCTGGACATTATAATTCCGGAAAATGTGAATAATAATCTTTCTGTTGAAAAGGTGTCCATCCCATGCTTCCTGCAACAAAACTGGCAGCATAAGGAGGCGACCCCATATAGTGGGGCTTCAAACATAATTGAACTGTGTGGTTATGCCAATAAAGGGCGAGTTATGCAAATGAATGGTGCCAAATTAACCCCATCTGGGGTGTGACATGGAGAGAAAGTTGATACGATGGAACAGTCCACCCTATGCTGCAACTGTTTAGTTTAAGGTCACTTGCATTGTGGGTTACTAACTCGAGTTTATTAATGCTCTCTTAACTCCCAACTTTTGGAAAGCTTGTCATTTATTTGGGTCCAAAGGTTTTACTGTTGCTGGTTTCAGGAAATTACTTGTTTTTCACTTTCGGCTTTCCATGAAATGCTTGGCATGAGTATTGTTTTCCGCATCAAATCCCTGCTCTGTTTAATTTCATGGACAGCAGGACAAACAGAACGTTGGAAGAGTTGATCCCGGAATACAGAAGCATGAAGATGTCTTCATGATACTAATAATTTCAGAACATGTACACTTGAATGGATCAAAGTACAAATGAAAAGCACAATTACAAAGAGAGGCTGAAATTGCCCTTTAATTACCTCTCATGACTACACTTGTGTCTCAGCTGTTCACTAGCAAGTGTCAAGAATTACCTCTAATGACTACACTTGTGTCTCAGCTCTTCACTAGCAAATGGCAAGAGATATAACTGTCAGCCCCATTCCCATATGTTAGCGACCATAGCCCCAAAAAATGCAGAGAGTTTACTTGTAAGGCCAGAGTGCAATATGCACCGATAATCAATGATACAACTCTTGACAGACTTTACAACCAAAGTTAGCGTTCTGAAAAAGAGTTAGTTTCGATGTGCTTCACCAAATCCATCAAAGCAATGTCCTCAAATGGACCATATTTAGATCCAAGGAGAAGGGCTTCCCATGTCCTAAAACCAGGAGCACCATTCTTACCAACCATTACTTTGAGCAATTCAAATGCTCTAGAAACCAATCCCCTCTGGCACAAGCGACATATTATCTCATCAAATGTCGAAGACTGAGGAATTGAACCTTTACCCATCATTTCCTCCAGCAAACCACAAGCTTCATCAATTTCACCTTTACTAATCACACCACGAATCATAATTTCATATGTTCGTGAGTTTAATTGCATTCCCTTCAAACCCATATCCCTCACAACATCCCTCGCCCTCCTCAATTTCCCACTTTGACACAGTGCCGCCAAGAGCGTATTATAAGTTATCAAATCAGANATAATTTCATATGTTCGTGAGTTTAATTGCATTCCCTTCAAACCCATATCCCTCACAGCATCCCTCGCCCTCCTCAATTTCCCACTTTGACACAGTGCCGCCAAGAGCGTATTATAAGTTATCAAATCAGATTTACACCCCAACTCCTCCATCCAAGCAAGCATCTTTATTCCATCTTCCATCTTATTCTGCTTACACAAACCATTTATATACACATTGTAAGTATATATATCAGGAACCAAACCCAATACAAGCATTTCATCGAACAGCTGCTCTGCCTTCGCAGATTGACCTTCCAAGAACAACCCATCTAGAACCATAGTATAGCAAACAATATCAGGTTTAATTCCATCCAATTTCATCTGATTCAAAACATCCAAAGCATCCATACCCGCCCCTTTTTTCGCCAAATGCCTAATCACATTGCACCAATCAACTCTGTTAGGACAATAACCGAATTTCCTCATTTCTTCCAAGAAACCCATAATCTGAACACCAACTGAATCTTTCTGTTCGCACATAGCTGATAGTATCAAAGAACAAAACTTTCCATCAAGACTAAACCCCTCACTTATTATAGCATTCAACAACTCAATTGCATAGTTAACCTTTCCAGTTCTACAAAGAGCTCTGATTAATATACAGAAACTCGATTCTTCGATCCGGATATTCATCAACTGACTCTTCGTTAAGATTTGTGGAACAATTTCAAAACCCTCTTGTTTTTTACAAAGAACTGAGAGTAAAGAATTAAGAGAAACCGCAGTAGGGCTACATCTAAAACTGGGTAATCTAAAGAAAAGCTCCGTGGCTCGCTGAATCATATTGGATTTGCCATAAAAGTAAATCAAATCAGCAAAAATGTATTCCGGTGTTTCGAATTTTTCAGCATTTTCAAGATAATCTAGAACTTGGGTGATTTGATTATCATCGCTTTTGGGGTTTTGGGTTAGGGTTTTGAGGATAAAGTGGTAAGCTTTAGGAGTTGGGTCACAGCTGTAGGTATTGAAGGATTTAATGAGAGCTGAGAGGAGATGGGTTGAGGTTGTTTTTGCTGATTGCTTGAGCATTTGCATGGCTTTTTGTTGATCGAATGTGTCTTCCCATTGTGCTTTGTACGGTGAAAGTGGCCATTTTCTTCTTTTTCTGAGGTAATAATTGGGTGAAGATTTTCTCGAAGAAGATGAAGAAGAAAACGGTGATCTGAGAAAAGTGGTCATGCCAGAACAATGTTGTTTCAGATGCTTTTCCCAACAAGCTCGTTAAACAGCCATGGTTAGTTATTTTAGATAGTTTTTTTTCTTAAATTTGCCTTCAACTGGCTAGCTATTTTACTATCTATTTTTCATAATCCTTTTTAACTTGCTCGTTCTAGTTAGCCCCTTCTCCCTCGTTGGAGCCAATTTTCCCTCCTCTCTCTCTCTCTCTCTCTCTCACTCACTCAGCACAGAAGCTCCACAGCACCCGAAGCTCCACCGACTGAAGCTTCATCGTAGAAGGTTCCACCGACTGAGGTTCCACCGGTATGATATCTCTCTCTCTCTCTCAGATTGGGGAAGACGATGAGTTGATTAAAATCTAGTAAAATTCCTTCAGAAATTCAGCGTAGCCTCTCCAAAAATTCAGCAAAATCTCCCCAAAAATCTAATAAAACCTCCAAAAAATCCACCCTCCAAAATCCAATAAAACCCCCCAAAATCCAGTAAAATTCCTAAAAAATTTAGCAAAATCCCCCAAATTTGGACCTATTTGTCTCTCTTTCTCAATTTATTAAGCTATCCCATCGTCTCTGATGGGTATAAACCTGCATTTAAAATTGTAATTTGTAATGGAATAAATTGAAAAACCCTAGAACCCAAAATCTGAATAAAGGATGAAATCTTGCTGATGCTTGGATTTTTCACAATTGTCTGAGTGCTTATATTAATTAATATGACCGTATATAATCAAGAGTTTTTCATCCAACTTTCCATAGCATGCTGGTTTTGTTAGAGGAGGTAAATTGTTCAGATGTAATTCTGTAAGAAATAGATTTGAGAAGTTGTTAAAATTGGTAAAAAGATCAGTGCTTTAGGTAGGTTGAGTGTTCCATCCTCTAAATTCTGGGTTGTTACTTTGGAAATATTGGTCTTGCTAGAAATGGATTTTCTTTCAAAAAAAAAAAATGGATGTGGTTATACTTGATGAATTATTTTCATTGCTATCATTGGGTACAAAATAGGTGTGAAACTCTGTATTTCCAAAATGCACTTACCCATTTGCTGCTGAGATTTATGTGGGCTTATTTTTCATCAATACCACTATGTAAAGCTGTAAGTGATGTACATCACATGCATATCTATTTCCTTTATGTCTTTCATGTTCTTTTTACATTTTGTTGTCCCAATTGGGTTGTCAAGAGAATAATAAACCATAGTGCTTGTGTGGGCAAGAGCCTGATAGAGATTCTCTAGGAATTGTTCCTTAGTTTTCAAAATGAACCAGGTCTGTTGGTTACTTTTTTCTTCTGGTTCATCTCTACACATAAGGTTTTTCAAATGTCGTAACTTAATTGATATGTGCATATCAATTAAGTTAACACAAATGGAGTTTGGGACTTCTCATAGTCTATGGAGTTTGGGTTCTATGAACTATGTTGTTTGTTTGCCCAAGACAAAATAATATGATTCAACACATTGAGGGAACCCTGCTACTTGATTGACATTTGAATGTCTATACTTGTTTCATCTTATAAGCATTATTCATGGATCTATTCCAACATGGTTCGTACTTCACCAATCTCATACATGATGGAACAAACTTAGATGATGAAGTTATAGGTCAAACTTCACCAATATCTTCTCAAGTAGAATCCACCATCAAAAAACAACGAGGTGAAAATTTTACAGTAGAGGAACATATTATGATAATCTCGGCGTGACTAAATATTAGTTTGGATGCTGCGCAAGAAAATGAACAAAAATCAAAGACATATTGGCAAAGGGTTTGTGAGTTCTTCCATGAATACAAACCTATGGCATGCCCTAGTCATAGTCAAAATTCTTTGATGAATCGTTGGTCGGCAATTCAGTTAGCCACCAACAAATTTTGTGGGTGCTTTGTATAGATAGAAAGATTGAATCAAAGTGGTTTAACAGAGAATGACAAGGTCTGAGTGAATATTTTCATACAAAATAATGTACTTTTAATGACATAATAATGAGTTTTGTTGTAAAATTTTTCAGATTCATGATGCCAAGAACTTGTACAAGGAACTCTATAAATCTTCTTTTCCGTTTCAAAATTGTTGGAATCAGTTAAGGTATCAACTAAAATGGATGGAGGATTCTCAAGCAAAAAAGCAAAAAATAAAACATAATGCAACTCCTGGCAGCTCCGTGCCTTCTATAGCAGACTCCATAAATTTAGAAGATGACGGTGGATCCTATGGATCCTTAGACAGACCACTTGGAAGGAAAGCTAAGAAAACGTAATTACGAAAATCAATGAGCAAAGAAGCTAGAGGTGATGCAAAAAGTTCTGAACTCGTTAATTTGTTAGTAGAGATGAAGGAATATAAAAAGGTAATGAATGAGAAGAAATTTGAAATGTTTGAAATATGTTATCTTCAAGGACAACAACGTCTACTACAAGAGAAAAAGAGAATGCAAATGGAGCAAGCAAGAGAAGAAGAACGAATAATGTCGATGGACCAAAATGGATGGAGGATTCTCAAGCAAAAAAGCAAAAAAACAAAAAATAAAACATAATGCAACTCTTGGCAGCTCCGTGCCTTCTATAGCAGACTCCGTAAATTTAGGAGATGACGGTGGATCCTATGGATCCTTAGATAGACCACTTGGAAGGAAAGCTAAGAAAACGCAATTACGAAAATCAAATAGCAAAGAAGCTAGAGGTGATGCAAAAAGTTCTAAACTCGTTAATTTGTTAGTAGAGATGAAGGAAGATAAAAAGGTAATGAATGAGAAGAAATTTGAAATGTTTAAAATATGTTATCTTCAAGGACAACAACGTCTACTGCAAGAGAAAAAGAGAATGCAAATAGAGCAAGCAAGAGAAGAAGAACGAATAATGTCGATGGACACAAGTTGTATGCCTCCGTTGCAAGCTGAATATTTTCAACGTCGCCAAATAAAAATCTTGGGAAAGAAGATGTAGTTTTTTTTATTAATAGACAAACAACTTTAAGTAGTAGTAATGATGCTATAAGTACTGTAATAACATTTGTTTAAGTAGTGCCTAGTAGTTTTCATGCATATTTCACTTATGCTCGACTAGATCAGCTTGGAATTTGGAATGAGTTTCTTTGTCTCTAATGCAATGTTGAGTATTAATAAATTGGAGCAGTTCTGAAATCCGTTCAAGGATGATTGTGGCAGTGGGACTCTCATACATTGTATTATAAATAAAGTCCAACTTAGTGACACTTCACTCATCCTCGACAATCATATTATGTAATATTATGCATGCTTTCATAATATCTTTAAGCACTTTAAGTGTCTAGAAACATGTTGGTCCACACACTATAACAAATCGTGTTTGGAGCTCTCCAAATGCTTGCTCAACATCATTTCTTGTTGACTCTTGAGATTTTGTAAAATGTATTTGCTTATTGCCTCTTAGAAATGGAATTGTTTTGACAAATGTTGTCCATTTTGGATATATACCATCAGTAAGGTAATATCCCATTGTATAATCATTTTCGTTGACTAAGAAATTGATTGGAGGAACCCGACCTTTTGAAAAGAGAGCAAAAATAGAAGAGCGTTCTAGTACGTTGATATCATTATGAGATCTAGGTAACCCAAAAAAAGCATGTCAAATCCAGAGATCATATGAAGTCACCGTCTCCAAAATAATTGTTGGTTTATAGACGCGACCAGAATACATATCTTTTCATGTTGTTGGACAATTCTTCCATTTTCAATGCATACAATGAATGCTACCCAACATCCCAGAAAAACCTATGATTGCTACCCATTGCTAATAACCTAGCAATGTCATCGTTGTTTGGTGACTTGAGGTATTCATCGAAAAAAATTACTACTACTGCCTTCACAAATCTTTTCAAACTTTCTATTACGGTGTTTTCGCTAATTCTCACATAATCATCAACAGCATCTGCTGCAACTCCATAAGCATGCATCCTTATGACGACTGTTATCTTTGGAAAGGAAGATAAGCCAATAATTTCAACAACATTTTTTTTGGACAAAGTATGGATCATAATCTTCCACTATGGATATAATGTGAAGAAAAATGGTTTGATTCATTTGAAACCTTCTTCGAAATAAATTTGAAGAATAGATAGGCGGTTTAGCAAAATAATCACAATACAGTCTCTTGTACCCTTGAATTCGATTGCAAAAAATAATTGAATGACCTTAAATTGAACCACGACGTACACCAGAGCTTTCCCCGCTATTGAGTTTATTCATTTTCATAGCACAAATTGTTACCCTCCCCAATTCATTATCAGAGTCAGAATCGTTAAGAATTATGTTCATTGTAGGATGACGAGTCATAACATAAATACAAAGAAGAGTGTAATACTAATAAATATATTTGAGATGTATGATAATAAGAGATGGAATATCTTATTTATACATATTCAAAAATATGACCGTTGTAAATATGACCGTTGTAAATATGTCCGTTACAAATATGACCGTTATTAATATGACCGTTATTAATATGATAGTTGTAAATATGACTATTACAAATATGACTGTTAACAAATTCAAATTTTAAAATTTTGAATTTTATGACCATTGTAAAGATGACCGTTATTAAAAAAAATTAAAATTTTAAAATTTTAATGATATGGCATAACACGTCATCATGTGATGTCATCAATATGGTGATGACATTGTATATTATATAGTATTTTAGATTTTTATAATTAATAATTAGTTAAAGTTAGTTGAAGTAATTAACTAAAATAGATAGTGTTGTTGGAGTGAATTTGAAAAAATGATTAACTAAAGTAGATAATATAATATTTAAATATGTTTTGAATAATTATTTTAGATAGTGTTGTTGGAGTTGCTCTTACACGATGACCATCGTCTTAGAACTCTTCAACACTTTTATAAAATGTGTCATTCTCACTCTTTAATTATAGGATTTTTTGCAATTTACACCTTGAAAATTTTAATTTTTTTTGTATTATAACGTCAATATATTAAAAGTATTGTAATGTTAATTTTTTAATAACTTTATTATTTTTTTTTCAAAATTTAATCCATTGATAGTGAAGAAAAATTATGTCTCATATATGAATACATACTCTCTTTTGTTGGATCTTGGTTATATACTTATATATACAGGTACAATTCAGGTGGGTTAAGGGGTCAATCATAACTCAATCTTAAGTATAAAATGTTTAATCCTAACCCAACTTCAACCCGAAGTACTCACTCGAGTATTATCTAAATTCTATTCGAGTCGATATTTTTCAGTCTAGGTGGGCCTAAGTATTAAAAACCTCA